CACCAGGAGCGGTGGCCAGCGCCGCGACCGTGGGCCCCCCCCGTTGCAGCTGACCTGTAAACAAACTTGGGGGATCAAAACCCCTGGGAAAGGGGGAGACACAGCCTCTCTTTCACAGGCACGGGCGTCCAGATGTCTTCTCCCATCCCCGTCCCATATGGTTTCCCAAAGGAAATCCCAGTGTTCAAATGATTCTCATTTCCTGGCAGGACAGCCTGCGTCCATGTTCGTGGGACTCGCTTTTCGGCTCCTGGCCTCTCGTGGTGAGTCAGGCGATCGTAGCTTACCCGGGGTTAGGGGGCCGTCTTGTTTGATTCCCTCAGCCCCTGCCACCTACCCGAGGGCGGATACCTGGAGGCAGCTAGCTCTGAAGTCAGACAGTGAGAGGTGACCACCCCCAACTCCTGAACTGGGTAAGCGTGGGGGTGTCTCCTCACTTTGCTAAAATCTATCAGATGGAGAGGAATTATTTAACTCCCTCATATGTAGAGAGCACCTGGCAGGCCCTCGGCAGTAGAGAGCCCTCCATGGCTCAGTACAGGGAAGGAAGGACAGTACACGGAGCAGGAATGAGGTACAAGATTAGAAAACTGGGAGCTCGGGCAAGAAGCCACCTCTGATCACCCTCTACTGCAAGCCTCCGTCACGTGTCTCTAGCTTTACGATAAGGAAGGAAGAATTCTAGCCAATAGTCTGCCCAATTTCCAATTGGTTTACTCAAAATAGGTATAATATTGACCCAGTTTTTAACTTGTCTGCTGGGCAAACCTTCACTGAGTCACGGCTCTTGAACGCCTCTTCCTGTCCTGGCTCTTTGGAAAGTCACCAGTCACAGCGTCCATCAAAACCCCATGGCCCTTTCTCCGTCTTTATGCTGTGCAGCTGCTGAAGCCTGTGGCATTTCTGCTTTTGGGGGCGCGCCATCGTCTTTGCATGTGCCTAACACAGCCAGTTCTGATTCTCTCACCTCTCTGACCTGCCCACCTTGGTCTCCTGGTAGGGGGCCTGTTGTCTTGCCAGCATCTAACAGGAATATTCCCAAAGCAGACGGGGGCCCTTTGCTTTTATTCTGATATGCCTACCTGTTTGTTGTTAAGACAGAGTTGATCATTTTCTGTATGTACCCAGACTTGACTTCTGTTGACTAACTCCCAGATCTGCAGCCTTCGAGCACGCCCCAGCTCACCTGCCCTCCCCACAGATGGCTCGTCCTCTCCTCGGGGTCACCATGTTCAGCACGAAACTCATCCTCTTCCCAGGTCAGCTCCTCCTCTCATGGTCTCAGGCTTGGCCACGAGTCTGCCAGGCACCCCAGCTCCCGGGAGAAGCCTCACTGCTGTCGTGAAGCTTCCTTCCCTCTCTCCAAGCTCTCCCCCGAGGGAAAGGAAGGGAGGACCCCGGATGCCAGGACCCCTTGTAGTCTACTCCCATCATTCTGACTCCTGGCAATTCTTAAACATGTCGTCGACCGCACCTTCCAGTGCTGTGTTGGTATCTCCACTTTTACAACATTCTTAGCCATACCCATAACTTGCCTTTATTGAATTCTTGACATACGGCATCTCTAATCCACACACAACTCTATCATCCCCATTTTATAGATCAAAAACTGAATGGCCAGTGAAAAAACGGGGGTCAGAGCTGCAAAACTCCTTTGGGTCCAAAACTCCTTTCTTCTCCCTATGCCCCCGCCTTACAGCTGGTCTGGCCTCTTCCCGTCCCCCGGATTTGCACTGGGTATCAAAGTCATTCTACCTTTCCTACAAATTGCTTCTACCTTGCTTCTCTTTTGCTCACAGTCCCCACAAGAGTCCTTGATAGCAGAAGACCAAGCATCTGCCCCTAGGGAGGCTGGGTATTTAACCCTGAGAGGCCTGTATGTGTTTCCTCGAGCTGTTGAACAAATAACCTCAAACTAGGGGGCTTAAAACAGAGTTTATCCTCTCCAGCTTCTGGAAGGCTGAAGCCTGAAATGAAGGTGCCCTCCCCTCCCAGAGAAGAAGAGGTAACTTTCCTCTCTCCCTTTTCCTTGCCTCTCCCAGCAGCTGGAGACTGCAGGCTTTCCCTGGCTTGTTTGTGTCAGCATCTTCCCACATCTGCCTCAGTCTTCACATGACCTTCAGTCCACTGTGTCCTCTCCTTTTCTCCCTTTTTAAAGACCCTTAACTGGGATGAGTATCTTTATAATTCATTGGCTCACCGTCATCAGAAGGGTGTCACCTTCACATGCTTAACTTATAACACCTGCAGTGACCTTTTTCCAAGTAAAGTCACATCCCCAGGTTCCAAATGAGTGCATCTTTTGGGACCACCATCCAATCTACCTCAAGGCTCAATATGGCGGAGACATTTCTGTGAAGCTTATGTTTGATCTAAAACTGTACAGATTTTTCTGCGCTCAACTCCCTTAATGTGTCCACCTCTATTTTACTATTAAAATGTCTTCAAGGCCGGGCTCAGTGGCTCGGCCTGTCCTCCCAGCACTTTGGGAGGCTGAGGCGAGTGGATTGCCTGAGCCCGTGAGTGCAAGACCAGCCTGGGCAACTTGGTGAGACCTCATCTCTACAATAAAATGAAAAATAGCTGGGCCTGGTAGCGCACACCTGTAGTTCCAGCTACTCGGAAGGCTGAGGCAGAAGGATCACCAGAGC